AGCTACTCCAAGGCCCCAAGACACTGTGAGTGAGGCGGCGGCTGAATCGCGACTTCTGAAGCGCTTGAAGAGAAGAAGGATGTAGACGTGGCCAAGCTCCGATGGGACACTTGGGGTGAGCAGGAGCCAATGTAGGTATATAACCTGTCAGATGTGTGTGTGTGTGTAGGATGTGGAAGGATTTGCTGAAACTTTCAACCAACAATGTAGATACAGTATCAAGCTTACTTGGCAGTAAACATCAGCAAACAATCGAAAACCTAGTGGGAGAGGAGGGTTGGGGAGGAGCCCGGGACCATTAACGTGCTTGCTTTTTGGCGCGGGAAGGCAGTCGGCAGGGGAGTCGAGCCCGGGACCATCTGGGAACGTGCTTGTTTGTCCGACCCATTAAGTACCCCTAGCCAGCCTGCCGAAGGGTAGGGGTGAAAGCGCCGACCACGCCGCGCCCCACTCCCATGACAGTCGTTTCCACATGATTGATGGGGTTGGCGGATTTTCGTGGACGTTTCGCGCGCCGCTTGCTTGGCACAGTCTTGATCAACACTGCGTCTCGGGGAATCATATAAACTTGATTTATCGTGCGCCTTGCAGCCTTCGAATGTGTGTGGCGTTTGCAGTGCTGCGGACAAGCTATGGCTGAGAGATGCGAGGTCGCAGGCTTTCTCTCCAACCCGACCTTGAATCAGGCCAGGTTGCAGTCAGGTGCATTTGGGACAAGTTGTGGGCTGAAGGCCTGAATCCATGTATAAGATGTTTGCTTTCTTTTCCTAGACAGGTCAAGTGCAGATTGGATTGTAGAGATGATATGTTGCGCGTTTGGAAGTGGGGGTCCATCAAGATATCAAGTTCGGAAGGCGGGCAACTCCAAGGGACAGCTTGAACTGATCAATCATCGATCCCTTGCAAGTCGGTGAGCGATTCCATCGGGGTTCCGAAGCCCTTGATCCATGTGTCCGTAACTTGCACGAACCTGCTGAACATTTGGATGGCCAGGAATACCATGTGGATCCTGAGTCAAACTTGAATGAGATGCCAGTCTATTGGTCCCAGGTGGGCCGGGGAAGCACCGCTTGATGTGTGGTGTGTTGAACAAGATCCGAACACCCGAGTCTCTATCGCGATGGTGTCTTGAGACATCCAATTGAGCTGGTCAAAGCCAGACCCACAATTCGATGGGGAGTTTGCGGCCTGTGGAAATCTGGTCAGAAACAACTGTGACAGGAATGAACACCTTATGATGTCATTTGGAGTGATCCGCGATGTTTTGGTTCACCACCTCTTCGTCTGAGGATAAGAACTTCTTCATGTACCGCGAGGCGGCGGTGGCCAAAGTCAGGACAATCTGGACCCGGACGGATGGCCCGGGACGGTGCTGATGTCAGCTTTTGATCCATCATCCGCGATGGATCTCAGTCTCGGATTCCTTGAGGTTTGGAGTCAAAGCGGATCCAAAGTATCCACCCGGTCTTCCTGCCGCGAGGCGAAGCATGGTGGCTGGTTGATTGGTCCGGCCGAGAGCAAGGCAGACAAAGGGCTGCACAGAGATCCAACACGTAGTGTGTTGTGGCACGTTGAAAGTCGACAGTTTGATCGTCATGAAGTTTGTCAAAGTGAAAGCGAAGGGATTATATAATCAAAGTTGGGTGAAATCCAAGGTATCCACTAGATATCCTTGAGGAGGAGGATTTCTGCGACATTTCGGGACAAATCTTTGAAGGTGTTTGTGGTTTCAAGTGCCTCAGGGGATTGCTCCATGCAAAAAGGTCGGCATAGAGAGAAGGACCTGCCGAATCTCGTCTATCCTTACGTCTGCCAGGACGCTGCCCGCTGGGGCGATCCCACCTCTGTGGCCTCTGAAAAACCAGAGGCGAGGACGTGGAAGAAGCTGGTGAGGATCTCCCTCGTCTAGTGCAGAAGCCAGTTTGGCATTTTGAATGGCCGGCTTTTTGGGCCTCTACAGTCTACAGATTTGGAGGTTTTGTGGAAATTTGCTGGGACCTTGGTACTGGGGCTTTGCAATGTTGAGCCTCGAGCAAGGTGAGGATTTGTGGGGATCTGGTTTCCTTGCATGGATGTGTTTCCAGGATCATCCAAGAATTGCACGAGGAATTTATCTACCCCTCCTTTATCCACGTTCTGTTCACTTCTGTATGCAAAGAACATACGAACCAACTGCCAACCGTTTCCACGGCTTAGTGGTCAGAAGATTTCAATGGCGACCTTTCCTTTCTCGTGAGATTTCTGACCGGTCAGATTTCCTTGTCCCCTTTCCTCGTCCCGGTTTGGATGCCCACCATTGTAGGTGCCAGGCGAATGGCTGGAGTTAGACCCTCGTGGAGTCTGGGAGTGCAGGTTGATCCAGTGCGGGAACTTGTGTGGAGCGGTGGGTGGGGCAAAGAGGATGCAGTCGCAGGCGTAGTGATGGAGCAAGTGCTGGAACATCCCCCTCGTGACTAAACTCTAAGCCGGATTTCATAGAACACCTCAGCGCAAAGAATTTAATTGTATAGAAGAATCTGGATTGCACTTGTACGATTATTTTTGGGTCCTACCTCCAAAGTGAATCAGACGAGTCTTGCTTCCGTCCGACCTGGACAGAATGGGAGTCCTATTGAAGTATAGTAAGCAGTCGAGTTCTAATGTTAAGTTTCTGTAAAAATCTAGGAACCAAATCATTAGTGCGAGCGCTTCTTCAAGGAAGCTTCGCGCCGCCCTAAGGGGGAGCTTCCTTGAAGAAGTGTGAGCTATCCTGCGTCCATACGTAGTAGTAGGTACTAGCTACCGTTTGCTACTACTGGCTACCTACCTCTAGCTACTTCCTACCTACCTCACCGACCTACCTCCTAGCGACCTACCCCCCTGGTCTTTAAAAAAAGAGTTTAGTATTAGAGAGGAGTGGCCAAAAAAGAACACATATTGTGCCTGTTGTACCAAAGAATCTGGATTTGGACTCCCGTCAGCTCACAGAAAAGCCGCGAGAATCACGAAGGGTTTTGGTCTTTTCGATTCTTGCCGGGTGCCCACAAACCACGAAAAAACCACGATCGATCACCAGAAACAGGTTACAACCAACAGGTTGAGCAAATGGTCAAAAACAACGCACCACAGATTGGGAGGAAGCGGCAAATCACTCCTAGACATCGATGAGGGCAGAGCTGGCCCACAGAACACAGCCAATCACCACCAATCAGCCGTTCTGGACAGCAAACTTGACACCAATTGTGAAAGCTTCTAAAGCAGAATCACCATTGAAACACTTTTGAAGCATGTCTGAACAACGCCCATCATTAGGAAAGAAATTGCCTTGCCGCTTTCCTTTCAACTTCGTTGGTGGGAAGAACGACCATGCATGACCACGCGTGAGGTGTCAGGCCTTCATGCCAGACCTTCGGCAGCCAGTGACGCCTCCCTGAGGCATGGAATAGCAGGGTGGGAAAATGGTGTCTTCAGAGAAGCTGAGGTGCATTGTGGCGTCCCACTTTTGTTCTCTTGGATGCGAACGTTCGCACATGAAGGTGATGATTTGCACTCTTCGACTGATACTGTTTTCAGCTTGAGGAAACTGAAGCAATGAAGATGCAAGCGCCAAAAAGATTGAGACCAGCACACCATGGTTCTTTTGCGGTTTTTCGAGATATCAGACTATATATCTTGATTACAGTGCAGGGAAGTCCACTTCCAGTGTGGCCTGAGTATGGTCGGTCAAGCAGGATTGAGGTAGTCGCTCTCTCTGTATATAAACTATAGATGATGGATGGATGGATGGATCGATAGATGGATAAGAAAAGATAAGAATAGATAAGAATAGATAAACATAGATAATATACGATAGTATTAGATTGGATAAGATTAGATCGTATTGGATATATATATATATATATCTATACAAAATAACTAAGATAAGATTGGATAATATTAGATAAGAATAGATAATATCAGATGCGATAAGATAAGTAAGATTAGATGAGATTAGATACGATTAGATAGATACGATAGATAGATTTAAATAGTATTAGATAGATTTAGATTTAGATTTATATATATATAGATAGATAGATATATTCATAGACAGATGGATAGACAGATAGACATGTTTTTGTTAGCAGTCTTGGCGAGCTCAACACTTCCAGAGACGGTCCGCATTTCCTGTTTCCTTCTTCTTCCGAACCTTGTGGCAGCCACGCAGTGTGTGGCAGATCCGCCGCAGGGTGCAGACCCTGAGTGGATGCCGAGGCCAAAGATAAGCCGAGAAAAAGGGCCCCAGATGTCCAAGCATCTTGTGCCAGAGATTAGACAGAGGGAGAGAGAAGGATAGATCGTGTGCGCCCTGTATCATGGTTCCATTGCGAATCGTCCTCCCTGTGACCTCCTTTTGGCTCAGCGGAGTTCAATTTTGTTGATGGATAGCTGTACAGGTTTTCATGGCTTTTGGGGGGGCTGGGTACCGCTATTTTTTCCATGCTCAGCTGTGTAGCATTCTACACAGTCTCAATCAATGACATTCAAGGATATTTGTCTCACCACCTAATGCAGCAATACACAACCCAGTTTTTCTTGGGTGAGGTTCATCATGCATGGATAACATGACAAAAACTTTTTTCACTCATAACGGATACAAACGATCCAAGATGTGTCTGCTGAGCATCCTGACATTGGCCGCAACTGCCGGGGGCTCGAAGCTTGGCGGGCTTTTGTTTGTGATACCTGGAGAAGCTTGAGTACATCTCACAGGTCTTGATTGGAGTTTGCTCCTTTGTTCCAAACCATGACCAACATAGGGTCTTGATGCATGTCCAAGTTCTCTTCTAAGTTGCCCCTTCCGAAACGCAGGTTTGCAGTTTGCAGATGTAGAATTGACAAACAACTTCAAAGCTTACAGGCATTTTGAGCATCCGAGCGGTCAAGTCACAAGTGACTTAAGTCAATGGTCCTGCTACTCAGGTTGGACTGTTTGAAAGGGGCTTTCATCACTGAGCGGCCGTCCTTCTGCGTTTTGCTCCATTTTGTCAGGGCTCCAGCACTCGCGCCGGGACAAAATAAGCCTTGCTGATCTCGCCATGGCTGACAACCCAGTTTGGAAGGCATGCAAGCCCTTCGCCACCGGCTCGCTGTCGGGGATGTTCGCGACCTGCTGCTGGGCGGCGTGAGCGGGTCTGACGGGCTGGTGGGGTGCCAGACAACGAGCTGCCTGGTATTGGGTCAAATGGCGATACCCGTGTTCAAAGATTGGAATTGATACAGGGAAGGGCGGAAGGTATCGGAAGGCAATTATTTGATAGGGGCTGGCCATTCTGGACATGCTTTGCAGAGTGTGAGGATTTGATAGGATTTGCCATATTCTCCCGTATTCTCCCTTCTTTTACTCTGGCAACGAAGCAATTGGGAGGTCATACTGTCGCGTTTGACCCACTTGAGTTCCCCTTGTAGTAGGGGCAGATGCCAACTCTGTCTGGGCATGCAGGAGAAGCTTGAACACGACTGACATGGCTGCTAGAGATAAGCATCCACAGTAGTTTCACCCAACTTGCTATTTTTGTTTGCCTGGACCGCTCGATCTTGCTACGATCGGTTTCTCTGATCCGTTGCTTCCTTATTCAATATGTTCTTCACGCACCTAGGCTGTATCCAGCCCATCGACATGGTCAAGGTGCGCATTCAGCTCACAGCAGGCACCGCTGAAGCTGCAGGCCCTATGATGCTTGGCACAGAAGATCGAATGCTGAGTGAGTAATTGATGAACACATGTCGTACTGTTGGAACCGATGAAGCCATTTTCGAGGATTTTCTTTTTTGCCAAAGAGTACTCTATTTTGCTTTATCTAAACCGCAGTAGTGGTTCCCGGCTGCAAAGAGTTTGTGTATTCTCCGGGTGTGTTTCGGATTGGCAGGACTGCCTAAATCCAGACTGCCTAAATCAGTTTGTTTGTTTCATTTTCAAGTACTGGTTTCCATTGTCTCTCGATTCTTGGCATTTTCAAGTACTGCCAAGGACCATTGTCTCATCGATGCTGAAGAATGAGGGCATTGGTGCCTTCTACACCGGTTTGACCGCAGGACTGACTCGTCAGGTGGTTTACACCGGAGCACGTTTGGGGCTCTTCGACCAGTTCACAGGCATGGTGACTTGGCTGGATCCGTCGCAGGACCAAATGACATTCACCATTTGTCGGATCAGGACCCTCCCGAGTTTTTTTGGAGAAGGCGCTAGTAGGAACAAAGGGCATCGCTACAGGGGCTCCTGGCCTTACTACTAGGAACAAGAAGCTACTAGGGGCTCCTGGCATCGCTACTAGGAGCGATCGCAGGCTACGAATGGGGCTCCTGGGCTGGTCGGAATTGAAGTGAAAGGTCATGATGACTCCTGGCTCCACAATGGTATGTGCATCAGGTTTTGGTTTGAAACCAACCGATGGCAGGGAAGGTTGATGTGTTGCGTTTGAGCTCTACCTCATGTAAGTCACAACCAGTTGAGCGTCATGGCGTCATTCAACTTGTTCGGCTCAACCGGGGGATGATCAGGATACTGGCCAGGTCAACAACGTAAACAGGGTTGGGCAATTCCTGAAGACGTCCACTGCATCCCATGACTCTGACAACGTATTGGCGTCCCCACTGTGACTGAACCCTTCCTCCGAATGGTACCAGAGCAGTTTGGAAAGCCAGTATGCTCTACACAGTGCATTTACTGTCCTTTGTTTTTTGTCCTCTTCACTTCTTGCTGGGGGAAAGAGCTGCATCAAACACCTGATTTGCTGCAGGTGGTTGGTAACCAGTCAGAACCTACCGGATTCGTTCCTGGATTCGCTCCCATTCTTGGCCAGGTCAAGAAGCCTGGTAAGTCGCTCTCCGTGGTGGAGAACGGTGGTTGTGCGCTGGCGGCGGGCGGTTTGGCCGCCTTGATCGGGAACCCGGCGGACTTGGCGCTGATCCGGATGCAGGCGTGCTCACTGCCGCCCTGGGTGTCCACTCTGTCATTTTGTTGTGCACAGTTTGGTCCAGTGTGGAATTTCTATGAATTTTGGGGAAACAGGTGTCTTGTGTTTCCAATCACTATATACTGGTGGAAGTTTCCGCGATGGATGAGAAAGAGTAGAGAGTCTACAAACACTTGCATTTGGATGGGCAAGTGCATATATATATATATATTATATATATCTTCCTGAAAGCCCCAAGTATTTTGTAGACACACGCTGCGGACACATGCACACGGGTTCGGGTCAAACCGGGCACAATATGGAGTCGCCTGTTGTGACAGTCGCTCAGGGTCAAGATAGACAACACAGAGTATGCCTTCGGCAGTTTCATGCTGTCATTGCTTTGCTCAGACGTAGAGGTCAAGAAGTGGTGTTCGTCAAGCTCTGTCACAGAGGGAACTGCCAAAAGACACGCGGGATTAGTGGATGCTGATTCCCAGCCAGGATGAACATGTTTTTATATTGTCTATCACTCACTCGGTATGTTTCCAGTTCCTTGACCCCTCACTGAAGTCACTTGACATATTCATGGCATGCGCTTCAGCACTCCGTCCTTTTTGCCATCCGTGGCCTTCAGGCCGACAGCATGAAGCCAGTGGCTGAGCGCCTCGGGCCAGTGCGATCAGTGTGTTTTTTTTTCAGGCAAAAAGACTAGGCCAAATGCTGGCTTTCATTGTCTTGATATGTCTTGTCATGGGTCTAAAGAGTCGCAGGGGGACCTCAGTCCCCCCCACAAGCTGACAAGCTATGCTTCAACTGAAGCATCATCAGTTTGTACTCAGATGTTGGCTTCGGATGCACCCTTTTCGCAAAGAATTGGTTGTGCTCTTTGCGGAACCTTGCTCTTTGTGTGGACGAAAGCACCACAAAGAGCTTTTCCTCCTCAAACCTAGAGGTTGGCAGGGCGTGTTCTTTGAAGCGCTCTCGGGTGTTTTTTAAGCGACGGTGAGCTTGCTTCGTGTTTAGTTTCCAAACATCATCAATGCCGGACGCCAGCCAGTCAAAGCCCAGTGCATGAGAGGCTTCTTATAAACTGCAGCCCAGGGAGGATAAGATCTTGCCGTCCGGAAATCTCTCCTCAGAATCCGTTGAACAAGCCACCTTAAAAAGTGTTACACATGAATACGGTGAGCCACCTTTCTGTGTGGGACAGTGGGAGAATAAGACTCTCACAATCTCACATAATCCTTCCTAGTTTTGTTTTTGTTGCCTGTGACTCTGTTCTTCCCGCCAAACTTCTTTGTTGCCTAGGAGAGCCGGATACAGCAACGTCTTCACCACCATGGGAAAGATCGTGGCCAGTGAAGGGCCTCTGGGCTTGATGGCCGGCGCGGCGCCCACGGCCACTCGTGCCATGGATGCAGCGAGGACCAGCCCGCCGTTCCGAGGTCCGAAGGGGAGCGGGAACCACCGTTTGGGTGAAAGCGTATGGTGAAAGCGTTTGGAATGAGACAAGTATATGATTTTGTTGATTGTTTTGAATGAGTATTTCTATGTACATTATTGTGCATGACACTGTATCACTATATGACAGAGAATAATCACTCTGTGCGCGTAATATGAGAGTTGAGTATTGGTGGATGTACATGGGGGCGCTAACATTAGCGCTAGCAACTTTAAGTTCAATAGGTCTTGGAACACTCCCCCAGGGGGCCCCCTAATCAGCGCCCGCCCATGTATATATATATATATACACATGTATATATATATATACATATTACATATAACTACATATAACTATACAAGTTTGTTGGAACTTCTTTGTAGTTCATGGGGCGGAAGCTCTTGATATGTTCCCAACCACTAGTGGGGATCAGGGACCGGTAGACCAGCACCTGACGGGAGGCGAGCTCTGTGAGTTCCTGCCACCCACAGGTGCCATGGCTCTCAACTTGGGAATGTTGGCCGGCAATTCCATCGCCAAGGCGGTCCAAGACATCGCAGTGTTCTTCAGGGATCAAGACCATGACTCATCTGCAGTGGAATATTAGACGAACGAAGACGTTATAAAAGGAGGAAAAAGCAGTCGCGCACCACCTGGGATGCTACAGATTGCCATGGATTCACAAATGTTGAATCTCCATGAACCCCTCTCACAGGCCAGATAGAACTCGTAGCTGGATGGACCTGGATGGATGTTGTTGGACATGAGCTGAAGGTTCAGAGGTAGCTTCAAGCTTTATCAGTCTTTATCCATTTCCTTCAAGTCATCCATGGTCGAGTCATCCATGGGTCGCGTCGCTCGAGGACGTCGAAGGGCTGACTGTTTGGACGCCCGAAGAACCTGAGGACAACCTTGCGAGCTTTGGAGTCACTGGTGGTCCTCTGGTCTTTGGTGCCTCCGCGATTGTGGCTTGGAAAAGGAGATGGCGGGAGATGGGTTTAGAATTGACCTGATCCTGGAGGGTCAAAAAAAGGACTTCTGCTGGTTGAAGTCATTGCTCCCCTGAAATGTCATGATTTCTGCCCCAATAAACCCATCCACTGAGCTGTGAAGCACAGGGGAACTCCTTTCTGTTTGCCCAGGCGGGCTTCTTCGCGTCCTTCTTCTCCTTGCCCTTTGATTTCGTGAAGACACAGATGCAGAAGCAGAAGAAGGATCCTGTGACAGGCTCAACTCGGGGGGGTTTGGAAGTTGAGAACGACTAGACGTAACTAGGGACAGATAGAAGGACTTCCACGCCTCATCTGGCCGAATTGGACGTCGTTCGAGGGTCAGAGCACTTCCATGGAAGCTCCTTTATTTTGTGTGCCATTGCAGTGACTTCAGGGAAATGAGTCGCAAAACGCCAATGTGCGGGGCTTTTGAAGCAGGATCCCTCGCAGGGCATGTACGAGATGTATGGGGTTGATGCTAATCACCCGACCAACTGGATGGGTTTCTATGAAATCTCGCTGCAGGTGAGCTGCCTTACAAGAGCTCCTTGGCGCGTTCGAGTGAGCGAAGAGTGATCGAAGGGAGGATGCAACCTCTGTACGTGGTGACCGTGACGATGAAGAAGTATCCTCAAGACTGCAAATTGCCATGGACGTAGGCGATGAAATATGAAACGGAGGAAAAGAAAGATGACATCTTCTGGCCACCATCGAAGGACATGCCTTGACTCTGTGTTCCATATGGGTATTTCCGGAAGTCTTCAAACATATAGACATAGACTCCTTGATCCGAAACTTGTTTGATACTGGCAGTAGCGTGTGTTGAAATCCCTAGTGGCCTGCTTGTCAAACACAATGACTTGCACATTTTATTGGAGATGGAGGGGAAGGCTTAACCAACAGCTCTAAAGGTCTGGCTGCCTTTGGCCCTCAAAGCATTCTTATTCTGATTCTCGGGAATCCGCAGCACCACTTTCTCTCCCCTTCCCTAACATAGCAGCCAGCTGGAAGACGAAGATCCTCTTTCATACCCACACCCACTTGCAGGCTGGCAAACACCCTTCGTGATGGCACACATCCTGCGACCCTGTGACTGAGGCTCCATCGACTGTGCCACGAAGATCATGGCAGAGGGTGGCCCCTTGCGCTTCTACGCCGGCTTCCCCACCTACTACGTGCGCATTGCGCCCCACGTGACCAGCAGAAAGAAGGGGTGATTTTGATTTCGGGCGCGTACCGTTGCGTGAACCATTTTGATTTCTTTGCAAGTGTCAAGCGATGGCAATTTGGTTTGGGGGATGCCTGCTCTCTGTGGCAAAGGCAAGTGCTTGTGCGTTTTGAATGCAAGTTGCAGGAATCACTTGGATCCAGTTTGCTTTGTTGATCATGTTACTTGCAACGTCAAAAGTCAATCATCGCCATTTACTTTTGGATTCTGTGCGACGCACGTCACGAGGTTCAACCTGCCCTTTTGTGCACACAGAGCGGTCGGCCACTATATAGTCTTCTGAGTCTGCCTTCAGTATTCGCATTTCTTAGGCCATGCTCACCTTGATCGCACAAGACTTCATCAAGAAGAGTTGCTCGGCTGACCAAAGACTCAACATCCAGGACATGTATGGAATTGCTCAGGAGTGAAGGGCACTGTCCGCCAATCTCCGCCAAGCGGCATACTCCAGGTCCACTCAGTTCATGAAATCTCGCTCTCAGGCTCTGTGGGTTGATGCCGCTTTTTTTGACTCCAGCCCTTTCTCCAAAACTCATCTCATGGGTTGAGGGCCTGCAGGGCTCCGCTCGGGGTTCACGGAGTTTCATGGCACCCAGCGAGACGCCGTGTTCCCCACGAATCGCCCGCAGCCGATGGCCCACGGCGGTCGGGCTGTTTTTAGCCAACAGCCATGCCAAACACAATCATATATCCAATCCTAAAACCCATACATATTCTTACTATACGCCACTCTAAAACAGCAAGCCAGTTGTTCTCTTGAGCTATGTCATCAAATCTGCTACAGCATTTGCAGTTTGAGCATTCTGCCAGAGCTTCAGCCTGGCTTAAGCGAAGCATACATGGTTCGAAAGAATAAACATGCAAGGCAATTGTGGCCCGGCCGAAGACCTTCAACCAGTTTCGTTTTCAGTGCTGATAGGTTTTGTGGGTGGCTGGTTTTTTTCAGCGAAGAAAAAGGACGACTTCCAAGAGGCCCCGGGATGGGGGGGCCCGGGATGGCCCTGACAAGCCGAATTTCGGTTGTACCAAGTTCAACGCCTGGTATTTGTTTGCTGGGTTGGAGGCCATCGCTAGTAGGCCATTGCTTGGTGTCTTTCGGTGACGCCGAACGGAACGGAGCCATGGAGAACGTGGTGAAACCACAGCGCAAAGTGAAGCCCTTCCGCCAGAAACTGAGACGTCCGGAGGGGCGGAGCTATTTGCGGGCCTTCACCTACGAGGAGTGGCCCAAAGAAGGGCTGTTTGAAAACACGGCTGTGAATCCAAGGTCAAGTGGAATTTAAAGGTCATGGTGAAAAGCGAGTCAAATGGTTCCCCATGGCCTCCCGTGAGTACTTGACTTGTTCTTATTCTTGGCACTGGAGGTATGATTGAAAAAAAGAGAGAGAGAGAGAGAGAAGAGAGAGAGAGAGAGAGAGAGAGAGAGGGAGAGAGAGAGAGAGTGTGCGTGAGCGTTCTTGGGTATGCAATGTTTGGTGCAACACATCACAAACCACTGTAAATCAAGGCACTCCATGAGGCCGAGGCCTGAATTTTTTGCACCATTTTTCACATGCACAATAGACACACCACTGGTGCCTTCTGTTGGACAACATCGTTTTCATTCTTTTTTCCGTTATTGTCAGTCAGCACCGTTATGGTCAGTCAGCAAATAACTTTTCGCAGCCATACATCCCATTTTCCAAAGTTTTTTGTGTGCATTTGGTACTGTAGCTTCTAGAAGCTTGGTACTGTATATATTTGCAGCGCTTTCTAGGTAAATCTCATGCAAATTTGCATCCCCATCGGTGCCCCTTCTCAAATTTATATATACCCCCCAAAGCACAATGTGTATGCAGTTTCATATTCTTTGTTTTTTAAGGTGCCGGGTAATACACAAAAATGGAGGAATGACAGCTTGTCTACTTGTGGCCGAAAACCAAAAACTTCAAGGTTTTGGGATGCGCACTGTCACGCTCGCCGGGATTCATTGGGGGGGGCTTGCTCGGCCCTGTGAGGATCATGTGGCTTGCTTTGCTCCGCCTTTCAACGAGAGTCGCTTGAGCGATTTAGTTCAGTTCTTTGGACTCTTTTTTGGAGAACGCATGGAGAAGATGATGGCCTCCCCACCTAAGAGCGGCCTCCAACCTAAGAGCGATGGACACCAACCTAAGCGTTTGGCCATCATTTTGACAACGAGAAATGAACAGGGAGAAACGCATACGCCTGATTGGCCTGGGCCAACGATTGATCGGGTTGATCGGTCCCAAAGATGGGGTTTTGAGACGTTCGGCTACTGCAACACCCAAGAGGAGAGCTGGCCTCCAAGCTCCATGTCTCTTCCTTGGAAGATCGTTTTTTTCAAAAGAACCCCTTTGATTGGACCGCTGAGGTAACCTTCCTGACCACTGGCCGGCGGACTGCCACGTCTCAACACTGCCCCGAGTGGGCTGGTTGCCTCCAGGCTGGGGACAAGCTTGGAAGGATGGCTGTGAGCCTTGGTGAAATGAGCTGTGAGCCTTGAGTCAAAATTATGGTTGATCCTGAGAATGAGCCAAACTGAACTAGCAGGTATCAAGCTCACATGGTATGGTGAACGCGCGTGAACGCGTGGGCGCCCGTTGGTGCACAAAGGGTGGGGCGTTTCACAGGGGCACCAGGGGGTCCAGGGCTTGACCACAAGAGTCCCAAAGAACACAGCACTCATATCTGTCTCGTTGACGCTGATGGACCGAGCTGGATTGTGGAGCACTTTTGCATGATCAGACGCAACAGCTTGTGGAGTTGTATTCACTCTTGGCAAGGACAGGAAGTTCTATGTGGCGCCAGCGTCTTTGGGGGCCAAGGCTGCTTGGCTAAATGTCTTTCAGCAGACCCACCTGAACCAGCTGAATCCCTATCTGCCCTGTTTGAACATTTGAACCAACTCTGGTCAGGTGAGGCTAAAGACTGATGTCGTATCGACATGTATTGAACTGGTTTCTTCTTTGCACTTCTAGTCGAGTTCCTATTTGAGTGACATCTTCCAATGGACTAAAGCTGAGATGGACACAACCCGTCCGTCCGCTTCCTTTGTGACTCAGTTCGTCACCAGTCACCGGCCAGTCCGTACGACTCATCTACGACTCACAGGGTACGGTTCCACCCGTACGCTGGTCGAACGGAACCAGGTGATGGTGAATAAGTTGAATGTGGAGCTGACCGTGGGGAAGAAGTTGAAGCCGATGGACCAGCATGGCGTCTTGCTCGGTGATGAGTACATCAGGCGAACGCGTCCACCCGGGCAGTCTGCGATGCGTTCGATGATGTCATGGCTGGGACGTGATGGGGTCCTTGAGGGCGACACATGACTGTCGACAGTGTACCGTGTTTCAATCTTCCAGGAACAGTCTGTTTGAACGGTCGGAGATCCCTTCGAAAGGCTGTTACTAGTGTTTCCACGAAAGCTGGACCCCAACCAATGCAAGTCTACCGCCAAAGGCGAGACAGTTTCGGAACTGTAAGACTGCAAGACTATGACTTTGGGGGACCAAGTCTGACAAGCATTAACACAGAGGGACAACCAAGCCACGAGGCTTCTAGGTGGGCAGTTCTCCTTTGATCGTTTAGGCCATGGGAACCTCCACGGAACGTGGCTGCTACCAGAGCCTCACCAGTTGATCTAGTTGTTCAGACAGTGTTGATCTCAAAAGACATGGGGGCCGACGACCCTGTCGGTAGGGAAAAGGTCGATTGAAGAGATAGTAACTCTTGAAATGATTTGAAAAGTAGGTGGAGATAGATCGGCATCGGGCCATTTGTTGGGGATAAACATCCATTCAAACACGGTCTGAATCTTTTCTTTGTTCATGAAGAAGCAGTGGCCCCATCGATGTGGTCACTTCCTTCGCCAGGAAGTGGCCGAACTGGCTGCCCAAGGATTGGCGCATCGCCTACTTTCGGTCCGCGGGAGGAGCACCGAAGCCCTGCTTCTTGAGCCCCAGGGGCGCGCATTACAAGGTGAGACGGACGGAATCAACTGACTGAAAACCTGGACAAAAGAAGGGGAGCGATCCTGGAGTTCTATCGCCTCTAAGCTGAAAGAAGTTGATTTTTTCTGACAATTCAGGGCTGCTTCCACGTTCCATATGTTTGATGGCGATCTCCGTGATTCAATATGTGGCTAGCACAGTGATTCATGCACAAGTTGCGGCATTCAAGCCAGTTCAATAGCATCCAGCTTCAGGTTGCTGTTCCTTTGAGGTCCTCAGGTTGAGTCTTGTGATGGCTTCTGCCACCGGTCCAACCAATTCCAACTGCCCAAGCGTGTTTTCGGGCGACCCGGCCGCGACAGGATAAGAAGGCGGTCCTTGCGCAGAAGGCCAAGGAGAGGAAAGCAGCCCAGCTGCATTTGTGCAAAAAAAATCACCGAAAGGATACAGCTGATCAAATGGGCTGAACAAGGTGGACCCATGATGATCCATGGATCCATTGATTCCATTGTCAGTTCTACCTGTGCACATGAGGTGGACCAAGGTGAACCCTGTCTCGTTTAGGCAAAAACAATGAGCCATTACGAGCTAGACTCTTGCTGGGCTATACATAAAGGTCCCGAAATAGATCCAAATAGAACGGGCCCAGCACTCGTGTAGAGAAGATATGAGAGGAGGACTTTTTCGATCTATCTTTTGGGTCACAATAAAAGAATCCCAAGGACTCAAGGACATGTACATAGAGGATTCTTACTTTGGAACATAGATGGTCTTTTACTATTGTTCCATTGGTTGGTTGACTTATAGAGGGGGTACCACCAAGTGACAACCAATATATATATATATATGTAATATCCAAACGGGTTTACTTAAGACAGTGCTTCGAAAGGCATCGTGTCTACTTTTACATGTATTTTATGTGGTTGTTCAATGTTATTTTTCCGAAACTTTACGCCATTGTTTGGTGCCATGTTCTGTTTGTTTTACACAGAGCACAATGGAATTTGGAATTCAGAACTGTCCCATTTTATCTGAGGGTTCGTCGCGCATCTGCGGTTCGGGGGGGGTGGGCAAGATGCTTGCATGCCTGTTGTTTTGCGCACACATGTGCCTTGGCACTATGCTTGCATTCGTACCGTCTACCGCGGACATGTGTCTTGAAAACCCGTCTGGAATTTAATATACCTTACATAAGATAGTAGGACTTAGGAAGATGTGCTGAAGTGACAGAAAGGCTTAGTTAAGATAGCGACCGTTATGGAACAGAGTGCTTAATGACCATCCCCAAAAACTTTCACTGTCTTAAGTAAACCCGGCGGCGGGATATATATATATATATATACAGTATCCCCTCTATTATTCCCAAGGGCGGACATCATTGCTCTGAAGTGTGTGGGCCGTTGCTCGCAGCTTTGAGGTTCAGCTCGGAAAGGCCGGCAGTGGCTCGCTGATCCTGGCCAAACGAGCCCGCAAGAGGCTGGCGCCGTTCCGGCGCAAATCCCAGGAACGGTCCCTAAGCTGCAAGAAATGGTCGGCCCGGTGCACTTCCAAGACATGGCACCCATTTGAGGATGATCCAACTGAAGAATTGGGGAAACAAGATCGATCTAAGATGGCCTCGAAGCACTCCAAGATTCTTGCGGAATTGCGCAGGTCCAAGGAGTGCTTCAGGACTTTTACCCCGCAGGAGCCGCGACAGTGGATTCCACTTCAGTCTCTAAAGTTGACTCTAGAGTTACAACAGTTGGATTTTCCGCAAACTGCCGCTGCAATTCTACTTGTTGATTTTGTGAAAGAAACAGGCCTAAGATTGGTTTAGGCTCGCCAGGAGTCCTCCAAGTCTCTCTCATCGCGAAGTTGTTCGACAGGAGCTCTTCGAGTGCTTTGCTCCTCCGTTGGGCGATAGTTTAACGCCTCCGAGTCACTGGCAAGGAGGCCTCAAAGTCTCGCGCCTGCCTCGCATCAGTTGGCTGCCTCCCAGGTGGACACAGGCCGATCGCTGGAAGTCATGTGGACCGGGCTGATCAAAGAATGTTTATTTAGGCCCCGGGCCGACCCACATAAAGTGCCTGGGTACTGGCGGCCAGTCATTCACAGGTGGCTGGCGTCTCTGATCAATTGCCTGATTGTGGACTCCACACCCTCCTTCTCCCCAATTTCCCTTGATATGCTTTTTACTGCCAACCGAACGAATGAGGGCGATGATGATGGTGCTGCTGGCAGCAACCACCCCGGGCCGTCGGACCCGAGGCCTACAGGGATGGCTCCAGGCGCAAGCTCTACGTGGCTCCTCCAGAGCTGGGAGCGAAAGTGGTCTTCCATCGTGAGAACGTGGAGGTCTTGGAAGGTGGGCGACTGTGAGAACGTGGAACCCTCCACGGTGGTTTGGGATGGCTGCGAACGAACAGCATAGGACTATGGACCGAGGCCTAGAGAGAACCGATCCCCTGAGTCGTATCATCAGCCGTTTCCAGGAGGCACACGTGTTCGGTTTTGTAGAGAGTTCATGCAGGCTAGGTCATCCACATGTCGTATGGTCACAGGAGCTTCCAGGGTGGGGCAAAGATTCGGGCTTGCCACTTCTGAGGTCGAAGATTGAGCCCCGTAGATCAGCATGGACTTGTTTTGGGGCCGGACTGTATTACACAGTGGCCGAATTGGTTGCCCAAAGATTGGCAAATTGGCTACTACCGTCCACATGCAGGGGCTCCGAAAGTTTGTTTCCTGAGCCCCGAGAAGACGCTTGGATTGAAGGTTGTCCTTGCAGCGTAAGACGGAGTGGAGAATTGCTGTGTTGCAGTGCTGCTAGCTAGTGAACTTGATCAGCTATGTTGCTTATTACTCTACAACAAGGTACAATAATATATATATATATATACATATATATATATATACACATAGTAGACATGTGACATGTGTACATACATGTTTGTGCCAGCACACATACATATATATATATAGCTATCTAACTACATAGGTGATATGTCGCTGTACTTTAGATTTTAGATGAATCATACACTGCATGCACCATGGATTTGTTTTCTTCTTGTTTCGAGTGGTGCCTCTTTGCTGAGGAAGAGATTCACAGACCGGCAGCAAGTGCTCTCGCACCTGAACCCCAACTCTCAACCCAAGAAGCCTGCGGTATGCCGGGTGAAGTTGGGCGACTTTGCTCGGCGTCATGCATTTCTGATTCGACAGAGACATGGCGAGTTTGGGTGCCGAGAATGAAGAAATGGGCACTGTCTGTTTGAAACAATCAGATCAGTTTCATCCCTTGGTCCCAGGGGATAGACAAATACTCTTTGGGGTGGTTTCAGCCACCAACCGATTCACCCCAAACGGTCGACATCCATGGCACAATAACACTGCCCGTGTAGTGCCAAGAACAGTGTCTTTCCAACATTGTACCCTCCACTGAACTGGTATCCTTCAAAGCACGTCCTAGCTAACATAGCACCAGGAAGATGGCTCGAACAGCTGGGCTGCGTGGTGGGATGCCACTTTCAGCCTTGCAAAGACTTCACGCTTGTTTCTTGATGTCAATCAAAGAATTTCATGGATGTCTTGGCTCATTTCCCTGTGTACTCTGTATATACATGTCTTTTCCTGAATCCACCACCCTGCGAAGTGTCAGAGGCGTCATCTCTAGCCATTTCCCTTTAGAACTTTAGAGCACACATGAAGCCTCTCGACTCTCGATGTATGTAAAGCCCCGATGTATGTTGGCTTGGTGGATGGTACCTTGTACCTTCTAATTGCTTTGCTACGCATGAAGATGATCAGACGTTCAGTTCTTTGGATAATTTTCAGAATGCAAATCCAGCGGGAATAAGCGGCCGCTGAAGATGATCCACTCAGCGGCCCATGGCCACAGACATCGATCCCCGCAAGTAAGTAAAGCACTGAAACACGTTGGGTCGAATCACAGGACTTGGATGTTCCTCATCATCCACTTTTGGCCCAACCGCCCCCGTCTTTCTGCGGGCAGAAATGCCCTTCGTTCGCGTGGTTCCAGGAAACAGATCTGTTCGCTTCGTACATCGCTGCCCTTCGTTCCAGCGGATGACAGCGAAGACGAGTTCCCTGAGACATGCGATGTCTTCCGGAGCTTTACATATCAAGAGTGCCTTTCTTGAAGCAGAGTGTTCGGAACAACATGTTTGGAATGTTCGGCGCTGTTTTTGCATCGACTGCCACAGCTATGACCTGGGGTCTTGGAATAGCAGCTAGTATTTGATAATGAAAGTTGCAATCGCCAAGCTTAAGACCCAAACCTGCAGGCCGCCGCATACCTCATCAGTTCGCAAAAGAGTGGCTATGACATAAAGCGGCTATGAACCAACCTAATTGATTCGATTCCGTAGACACTCAACGAAAATTGGTACGGTATTTGCAATACCGCCCTTTCCGTTCAACCGTATTGACTCATTGACTGTTAGCAATTAGCATAGTTGAGTTATTTTTCTGGAGTTCTCCCCCAAGAACTAGCTTTCAGCGGCAGAGATTGGATTACAAGATTCTGCAGTCATGACTTTCTTCCTCCATATTTGATGACTCCATACCCAAGTCATAAACTGTCCACGTTCCAATGTAACAAGTTCCACCTTCCAAGCTGTTCACCTCCAGGTAACTGCCAGTTCCCCTTGGATATCACGGTTGCCAGGTTCCTCCAAGCCACTCGGATAGTTTCGCCAGGTTCAAGGATTGCTTTGCGCCACCCCTGGGCGACTGCACGGTTCCTCCGAGCCACTGGCCAGAGGGCCTACAGGTTTGCACACTGCCGCGCATCAGCTGGTGGCTTGCCGAGACCCTTTGCTCCGTTCGTAGCGATGCCCGAAATGCTCCGTTCGTAGCTTTATTGCAGCCTTTGCTTGACTGGCGAGAAACCAAGCCGAAAGAAGGGAAGATTTGATTACATCGGTGCAGTAGATGCAAAGGGCGAGTGGAGCGATACATCATCTTCCCAATCAAAGCCTCTACCCTGACTGTCACACCAGAAGTTTGAAAAGGTGGGGTATGGTTGCCCAGTATCTCCAGCTCTTCATCCCCAATCCAACTTGGCATAATTATGCCATGGAGACTCGTCCCGTTGAAAGCTCGACCACCGCCTGGAGACTCGTCGACCGAGTCTGCAGGTTGCCGCCTGGCTGGGGCCAAGGCATCCGCATGGGCCAGAAAGGCCGTCGGCTGAAGGTCTTCGTGGCACCTGAGGGGCACGGGCGCTTGGTGGTGAATAACAAGCAAAGTTGCTTGGAGCAAGGACGCTACGAACGGGGCTCCTGGCCTTACTACTAGGAGCAAGGACGCTACGACTGGGGCTCCTGGCCTTACTACTACTAGCAAGAACGCTACGAACGGGGTTCCTGGCCTTACTACTAGGAGCAAGGACGCTACGACTGGGGCTCCTGGCCATACTACTACTAGCAAGAACGCTACGACTGGGGCTCCTGGCCTTACTACTACTAGCAAGAACGCTACGAACGGGGCTCCTGGCCTTACTACTAGGAGCAAGGACGCTAC